TATTATTTTTTTCTAAAATGAATATGATTAACTTTCTTTAAGAAAAATTTTTGTTTCAAAATTGTGGTCAGGTAAATTTCTTGCAATATGACAATGAATGAATCCAGTAAATGAAAATAACCTTTCAACAGGAATAGAAAAACAGAGATTTGAATTAAATTATACAAATAGTTTTTATAGTGATATAATTATTTAAAACTGATAATGATTTATTTTTATCATTAAAAAATTGTCGTTAAACATTTTGTTCTGTGTTATAAATATTAAATACAGTCGATTACGACCAAAAATATATAAATATACCTAATATTATGTTTATATATCTGTGATTACAGCATCAAATTTTTTTTTTAATTTACATTTTTTTTTATAATAATATGAGAACCATACAGTAATAAATATATATCATGAAAAATTTAACGTTAAATTTTAATATTATGTTACAGGATGATTTTTAACAAGTTACAAGTTAAATTAAAAATGAGTAACTTCTTACAAGTTACAAAATTAGCTGAGTTACATGTAACTATGATATGGCCAACCTTGCAAATAAGTATAGACTTAAGTAATGAGTTTATAAGAGGTATATATACAAGAATTGCTAAGGAGAGATTGCTTACACTTATTGTATAGTAAATATAACTAATTTGAGTGTAACTCATTAGTCATTATTCAGTAGGTCACTGTAGTTAATCAATCATGGCATCATGGATGTGTTAATTTTAATTCAATGAAAAATATTGCATATCTAAAAGGATTCTGAGTCTGTATTTCTAAATAAATTTAATCATTAATTTATACTTATTATTACAATTTCATATTATTATTACAATATAACATTAGACTTTAATATTTGTCCAAACTTCAAAGTCCAAATACTAGGAAATAGGAATATAAAAGGTACTAAAATTATTGAGAAATGTTTAGCTATAGTTAGTGTTTAATTTTATTTAATTTATTTATAATTGAACAATAAGTAAAACACTAAATATATTTAATTTTGATTTTAATATAATACCTAAATCGTAAAGGCTAAAAATTATATTATAATTATTTTTCTTTTAAATACCTATTGACATTGGAATTAGGTAACAACATTCATACAGATGATATTATTTTTATTATAAATGATCCTTTAAACATAATTGATACTTTTATAATATTATTTAATTATTGAGTAAATATATAATTTATAGTAATGATACCATTTTGAATTGGTTCAACACTATTGGTAAGATTTGAAATACAAGAGGCGTAAAAGAGATATTTCTTTAAATAATAACCAATTTTTCAAAAAAATTTATTTATAACTTACACCGTAATAAGACTGGGGTTGGGACCATTTTTTGATTAATATTGTTGGACGTAAACTTCCTTCTTAAAATGCTACGAAATGATATTCAGAAGAGGTGATTTAAACGTATTCGAACAACATAATTCCTACGAAGATATAATTTTGATAATGGCCGAAAAAAAAAAATCTAATCAAACCTGGATAAATTGTTATCAAAAAATGTATTTTATTTTTAATAGTGTTGCTAGATTGAGATTTTTATATATATATAAATTTAAAATATATTAACCTTATAATGTAGATCATAAATGTACATGATGATTAACATATACATATTTTAACAGATGTTACAATCGCGATGTGTAAACCAAAAAAAATATTTATACAAAAACCACAATTAAAATAATTGAACTAGCAATTTTTAGTATTAGATTTATATAAAGCAGATAAATCATTAGAAAAACAAATAATCTAAAGCTATAAAAGCCTTGGCTTAAATAAATATAATAGTTACTAATAATTATTGTAAAAATTATGTTAATTTTATATTACAAAACGATGAATATTCAAATTCGTCTTTTTTTTTATTTGTTTCTAACAATATTCCATTTATTTAAAAATTGTATCGGTAAGTAAAGTTCATTAAATTATATTATAATTTTTTAATATGAATACTGTGTAAAAATAAAACATTCATTAGAACTATTGAGAAGAATCTATGTTTATTATTGAAAATATAACTAATCAAACAGTCTGGCGATAACTATCATCATGAACACACGCTCTTAGGCTCGCTACGTTATCAGTATTTTAATTATGTAAATTGCATTTTCGATATCAATGAATATCATATTATGATTCGTTCCGTTAAAAGTTCATCATGTACGCCTACGTCATCAAAAATAATATTTTCCAGTACTTCTCCAAATTCTCCTCTTCACGAGGGGAAAAATACCAAAACTTTCACCTCATCAAACCGTTTCACTCTTCTCGTTTCAATTGACACTGACGATGACACTGTATTCGATGCGGCTCCACCTTCCTGCGAAGTCACCGTACCTTCATCTCTCCCTTCTGACCAGGCAGAAACCTGCGGCTCCACCTATCTACATTAGGAACATCAATAACTTTTATGCATTCAAGGATGTATTAATTAAGACCGTTGGCCCCAAGGGGCTTACATGTAAGTCCACTCCTTCGTACCTTATCGTCCGTCCCAACGGTCGCGTTAATTTCAACTTATTGTCAAATTATTTGATGGAAACCAACGCCAGTGTCCATACTTTTCGTCCTCGCTGTCAGCGTCCACTTAGAACCGTTATCTGAAACCTCCATCATTCCACTTTCAGTGCCGATATTTCGTCCGCTTTGTCGGAAGAATAACACCTAGTGAGGAATGTCCATAATGTAAAAAAAAAACAATTGTCCCCTCCCAATATTTTTTGTCGACATCGACCCCAATATTAATAATAAACATATCTACATCACTTCATTACTAAACACGAAAGTAGTGATTGAAAAACCGAACAATAAGACATACGGTCCGCCGCAATGTTTCAATTGTCAAGACTATGGTCACACGCAAAACTATTGCCATCATCCATCGCGTTGCGTCAAATGCGGCAAGGCTCATGAGTCAGATAGCTGTACCAAAGATCACTTCAGTCCAGTTAAATGCGTTCTCTGTTCCGAAAATCATACGGCCAACTTCAAGGGGTGCCAGTTCTACCAAACTATTTTAAATCGCCACAAAATCAAATTTTCCAACTCCAAAAAAAATATCACACAAACAAATATCTTATTCTCCGAGTCCCTCTCCAGTTATCCCTCTCAATCCATCCCGTCATATGCTGCTGCTACTTCTGGTTCAAAACCGAATATTAATCCGCAAAACTCAAATTTAAATTTAGCTCTTTCAAAATTCCTATCTGATTTAACATTCATAATAAATTCTTTTCTTTCCGCTTTATTAATAATCAATTAATTAGGGCATTTACTTTTAATATTACGTTGTTATTAATTACACTAGTATTCTGTTCTGTTTACTTCTTATCTGACATTATATTCATATATAATTATTAAATCATAATGCCCATTATAATTAATTATCAATTCAACTATTTTATGACGTTATCTATCATTATTTTAATTGTCGAACTATAATAGAATATACTGGAAGTTCTTAATTAATAACAAAAAAAAACTAATCAAATTTTTTTTTTTTAAAAAGTAAGACAAGAGTACTAAACTCTTTACTGTCATATACAGTCAAATGTCAAATACAGTGGAACCTCGATAAGTCGAAAAAAATTCCGTCCCCTTGCGAAAACCTCGATTACTCGAAAAAATAACTATAAATAACTTGAACATTCTGTGCTCCGAATATGACGGATAATGACAGATAATTTTATAAACATTTGTCTAATCGGCTTGTCCGTTCCGATAATTTTATCTAATCGCGTTTATTGTGTTTATTATCGTATGTATTAACTAACCTTGGCACGTAACAGTATTTTTAATTTGTATCGGTATTGCCAATTGCGATCGATCGATTACGCGTGTGCGGTGTCTGTGTACGGTAGTGAATGTAAAAATGCCTCGTAATTTAAAAATTCTTACTATTGGATAAAAAAAAAGGTTCTTGAAGCAGTGAAAAGTGGAAGGAAGAAGAAGGACATCGCTGAAGAATTTGGAATACCAGCTAGTACACTATCAACCATAATAAAAAATAGTAAGGAAATCGATTTAAACTTTCCAATAGACCGGAAGAGGAAGAGAGGTCCTGATTTTTCAGACGTAGAAGAATGTGTAGTTAAGTGGTTCAAGCAATGCAGAGATGCCAATGTCAGTATCGGAGGTCCTATTTCAAAGGAAAAAGCAGAAAATTTCGCAAAATCATTAGGCCACGAACAATTTAAGGCCAGTAACGTGTGGCTTAAAAATTTTAAAAAACGACACGATATTTCTTTTCGGAAAGTCTGTGGTGAAAGTGCAGGTGTCAGTGATAATGTGTTAAATGAATGGAAAATAAATTTGAGTGAGCTACTGGAAGGATAAAAACTATGTGATATATTTAATGCAGATGAAACTGCACTTTTTTACAAATGTATGCCAGATAATACTTTAATATTCAAAAATGAGAAATGCAGTGGTGGTAAACATAGCAAAGAACGACTTACACTATTATTGGCTGTTAACATGACTGGTACAGATAAATTGAAAACTTTAACAATTGGAAAATCGAAAAACCCGAGGTGTTTTGCTGGTGTCAAATCTTTTCCTGTTGACTACACAGCAAATAAGAAAGCATGGATGACTAGTGAATTGTTTGCTGAATGGCTATTAGGAATAGACAAACAGATGAAAATACAAAAACGTAAAATTTTATTGTTTATAGGCAATTGTCCGGCTCAAAATATTATACCGAATTGTCAAGCTATAAAAGTCATAAAAGTAAAATTTTTACCACCAAATACCACATCAAAATCGCAACCTTTGGATCAAGGAATTATTAAAACGTTTAAGACGCTTTATAGAAAAGAAATAGTGAGGAAAATTATAAGTGATATGGATGACGAAAAATCTACAGTAATCGATATTCTTCAAGCTATGCGCATTGTTGATAAGACATGGAGAAACGTAGCAACGTCAACAATCGTGAACTGCTTTAGAACGTGTGGATTTGTACTTGAATTTGAGAAAGACGACACATTGATGCCTATAATCGAAAATACTGATACGGATGACAGAGAATGGGCGATAATAGCAAGTCGTTATAGAATCGTGGAAGAAACGTTTGGCGATTTTGTTAAAATCGACCATGACGTTGCCGTTTCTGGTATTTTGACAGACAACGTTATAACTGACTCCGTCCGTGACACTGAAGATGTTGATGACATCGAAGAAGCATCATCTGAGCCTGTGCATCGTGTTTCAATGAAGCAAGCAACAGCAGCCCTCATATTGCTAAAGACATTCACCGAACAATTGAGTAATGTGGATGATAAAGTGTACTCTGCTTTAAATGTAATAGAAAATACAATTGATAATAGTAAATCTAATTTAAATCAAAGTAAAATAATAAATTATCTTTTATAAAGTTGCAACACATGTTTTATTATATTTTTTTGTAATCATTTTTTTTTTTAAATAATCTTTATAATCACATTTTTTTACATAGTATATACATATATACTAAGTACATAATAATTAAAACTTTAATACATACATACATTTTTAAAACTCATTAAATCGAATTTTTTTTCTAAAACCTTGATAACTCGAAAACCTTAGTAAGTCGAAAACCTTGATAAGTCGAAAAAATTGCATTTCCCTTGAATTTCGACTTATCGAGGTTCCACTGTACCTACTAGAACTTTTCTAGTTTTATACAAGACATACGAATTGCTTAAGTATTAAATAACAATTTTGCTGGAAAATTGTTATACTTTATTGTGTTTATTAAATGTCCTAACCCATTATAAACATAACTATTTTTTAATTTATAATAAATAACATTTAGATTTAATTATTATACAAATTAAATGTTATAACCCGATATTTTAGTTACTTTAGTCAAACTCCAAATATACAGAATGTGTCTAAATTTCATTCTACTTATTTTAAAATTTAATATGTATATGTAATAATATAACCATTTATATATTTATTAGTTGCAGCTATTACCCTTGATGACATGAAATGTATGTGTGGTTTGTTAGATGGAGCTAATACCGTAAATCAATTACCACCAGGATGCAAAACAGCAGTCGTAACCGTAGGCAATGCAGGTTATTTCTAACATTGCCTACATTGTGAAAATAATTTAATATCTTTTAGCAAATAGTATTGTACATCTTTTAATGACTATTGGATTAATTTATAACTGCAATGCAATATATCTAAAATATTTAATTTATTTAATTTAATTTTGTACAATTTAGATTATTAAACATAGAATTAACTCTTAAGTTATTTTGGTTGATTGATTCATGAGAATAAATTTGGTCTTTTAGTGAGACTGATTTACAGGAAAGAGAATATTTATTTCTTTTAGTGGGTACAATTTTTCATTTATGTATCAAAACTAAATGCATAAGATGCGCATTTAAATGTATTAACAAAACGATATCAGTTAAAAAACAGTATAGTATATTTGGCAAAAAAATTTAAAATTTCAAAATTACTAGTAAAAATGTTAAAAAGGTGAACGTTTCAGTTCTAGTTTAAACTTTTTGAATTCAATTTAAAATGTTTAATAAAAATTATATTATTTTTAAGGAATCATTATATATTTAAAATGTTTAGTTAATAATAGTAATAATATTTTTAATTATAGATAATACATGTGAAAATATAGCTGCTATAAGAAAAGCGAATGTAAATATACCAATAATGTTAATTTATGATTTTCTTTTTCTTGACGATTGGGTGTATTATTTAACAAATGATTCAAACGCTATCGCTAACCATATTCAAAGCTTAAAAGTTGATGCAGTTGCCTTGGAAAACACATATAATGTACGTATATGATACTTTTGTATATTTTAATAAAGTATAGTTGATACACAATATTTAAATAAAATACATCATTTTGCAGCAGAGCATTATAGAAATAAATATTAAGATCATATATATTAATAGATATCATATATTATAAAATTATAACAAATTACAACTAATTCAATATTATTGACCCGTGTATCTTTCCAAAACGTATTATAAATAAAATAGAATGGTACTCTCTTAACAGTAGTAAATTTTCTATTTTATGCCTTTTAATATGAAAAAATTCAAAAGTATAAATTTCAGTATGCATCACGTAACATTTGCACGAATATCTACTGTTAAAAATTAATAAATATATATTTATATATGACAGTATTAAATGTTTGTAAAATACTATAGAAAATTAAAATTAGTAATTCAGCATATAATCGCTTAGCATATGAACAGATAATCTGACAACTGATAAGTAACATAATGTTACGTCAACATTATGTGCCAATTTGTAGACAGAATGATTCCTTGTCACTTAAGGTAGGTTTTCTACGCTGGGACTAAGCAGTAACGACCGCGTGATTTACTGTTCTATAACTCTATTTTAGAGTTTTTAATAAGAATATAAGACTTGACGTGGTTTCCTACGTCCGATCGACGAGTGCTTGTCAACATTAGTCGTTGTGTTTGATGATCGTAGTGCTCTGGAAGCAGTGTTTTATTTTCGTGGCGTTGCGATTTTATTCCAAATGAAACTATTATATATTTTTATAAACGAGCTTATTCAATAGAATAATATCGAAAACTTTATTCGCTTCAACTGACGATGAGCTGTAAGTGGAATGAGTTCTATATATAATTGAAGTATACATTATTTCTACTTCTTTCTCCACTTTTAATAAACATATAACTACTTTTATTATTATTTGTAATGACTTGTTTCATTTTTAGCGATCAGAAACGGTAGATCAAAAAAATAAAAAAAAATCAGCGTTTGCACAATAAAATATCGAAAAAACAAAACTAAATTGAAAATAAATGCCTGCCGCAGCATTAAGTCTTAAAGTAGGAAACCAATATATGCTCAACGATCAGTCGTTGCCGCTAGTCGCAGCTTGGAAACCGTACCTTTAGATAAATGTATTTTTAGCTAAAAAATACGATTCATATAATCAATTCAACTGTTCGTAATTTAATAGATCAATGTATAATTTCGATAAAGTTTGATTGTCTCATACCAAACAGTAAAAAATTTTTGTTTAATGTTATTTTGGCTCGAATAACTCTTGTAGCTTTATTTTTAAATGATTATATTCGATAAATTAATTAATTTTCACATGTTTGCAATTTTAGAAAACAGAGAAAGTTCCAGATGGAAATTTTACGAACCTTTTGGTAAAATCGCTCCAGGAATTTAAATGTGCGTTACCTACTATGATGTTTGGTATTGTTCTGCCTGCAAAAGCAAATATCAGTTTTAACAGTAAGCTTATTACATTACAATAAATTGAGAACTATGGTTATATATTTGGGCTCAAGTTAAATAACCAATTTATATAATTTTTATCAGGATTTCGAACTTCCAGTATTTTGTTTCAAAAAATTAACTTTTAGGGACTTCCTGAATTTTTTTTTGACGAATTGGAAGAATAAAATGTATATGTTTGTATGTTTTAATTGTATATGTTTTCTATATTTTACTCTACATATTTGTAATTCAGTCTTGTTTCTTGTTTTTAATAAAAGATCAATTTCCGCTAAATATATGTGAAATACTTTTCGATCACTTCCAAAATTAATAATCATATTTTTATAAATATAAATGTATGTAAAATCTAAACTTGTTTAGTTCTTCATCATTCGTCTGTATTATGACAATTATTAATACATAAAATTAACACAGACTTTTTGCTTTCAATTTTAATCTATATGGTCTTGACATCATCACATCTATACCATATCAATGATCTAAATTATCATATTCAAATATGTTAGTATAGGGTGACCAGACGTCCCGTTTAAAACGGTTGTTTATGCTAATATGTCCTTTTTTTAATGCTTGTGTGTATATTTGTTCTCGTATCGAATCTTATCGCGCGTATGCCGTGCGCTCAACGACAGCAACAGCCATCGTTAGCGGCGGTGATAGCCTCCGTTTGCAAATGGCCGAGTACGTAAGCGCATTGTTATCGTCACGCATAAATGTTCGTTGTTCCACGTTTTTATTATTTGTCGGTTATGTTTCAAAAAAGTTGAAAGTCATGTTATCCGTGCCACATGTTTTTTTTAGTTCCTTTGTTTTCAATTTTAGTGTCATGGAAAGAAGGCATTTTATTCTTCATGTGGCGACCGGTGGCTTGTGCTTTCGTGGTAACGTTCATCGGCCGATATTCCTTCTTCTCTTTCTGTTCTTGTGTAAACTACATCTACCCGTTTTTTTTTCCTGCTGCAGCTATCAAATCACGTATTAACTTGTGTTGTTCGTCTTACGTGAGTTCTTCTTTCTTGTTAAAAATCGTTCGCGCAATTATTGCCTATCATTTAATAGTTTCCTCCTAGTCTAAGGTGGTTATTGATTGCCAGCAAAATATTGTGAGTTTCGTGTTTTTTCGAGTAGTGTGTACGCTGCAGCAGCCATTGTATTGTGAATTAAACATCGTGTTGTGGTTAGCGGCGCTCTTGAGTATGTGAGGGATCAAACCTGTACTTTTTATTGTGTTAATACGATTATTAAACGGATCCCGGCACCTCAAGACGTCATAACCTCAAAAGGTATGTGGTGCACCAACTTTATAATTATATTGGACTGACGGGTCATATATTGGTATTTGTATAATTATTGCGCCTATTGGCATCTGTTTTATTATTGTATAACTGTTACGCGTATTGGCCCCTATTGAATGATATATTTATTTAATTATTGTGATTATACTGGACCAAGTGGTCAATCATTTTATTTATAAACTTTAATATGTCTATAACCAAAAACAATTGTCTGTTTTTTTTTATTATGATTATTATTATTATTATTTTCACTAAAGGCGGTAGCTTAATAATTTTTAATCCTCCCGGCCGTTAAGGCTCATTAATTTATCAAAATTTTGAATTCTTATATTAATTTTCTTTATTATTACATTATTTTATTATTAATTACTATATATATATACTAAATATCATGATTATTATAATTTTGTTTATTTAATATTATGTGCATCTTTCTTGCTTTTTGAAATGAAAAATCTTCAATAATTGTCCCGTAATTTATAGTTTAAACAATTTCACTTTCTATAGACAAAATGGACAAATCGTTTAGATGTTCTTGTGTTAAATTAGATCTTAATGCATTTTTTATTAATTTTAATCTTGAAAACGATCTTTCTCCACTACAATTGGTGCACATGAGTGTAAGATGTAACTATAAAGTTTTTTCTACATTTGGAAAGCATTCCAAAACCTTTAAGTTTAAAATCATTTTATATAAATTTATAAATTTATCAATAAAATTATTATAAGTATTATATATGGGCAGAGATAATGATTTAAACGTAATAAATTGTTTGAACTCATCTTTAAAACTGTGTGGATAATCTATAGGGTATTTTTTGCATAAGTTATTCATTCCTTCTTCAATATGCTCATATTTCGTTTAAATCGAAATGTTTGATAGCAGCCTAAAATTGTTTTCAACTTTTTTATATGCATCAATTCTATACTGCAAAGGGCTATTTAATTTATCAATAATAACATAAAAGGTTTGAACTTTAAATAATTCTTTATCTGTAAACACATATGCAGTTTCATTATCACACTTTTTTTTACGTTTACGATTTTCAGATGATTTATATTATTTATTCACAGTTATTTCCATACCTTTAAATTTATAGTTATCATATTTTTCTCAGATCTGGTCAAGAACACTTTTCAAATTTTTCATCAAATTAATTGCAGTACACAAATCAATGTTAAAACTTTGTAAAATTTTACTGCAAATGTTAAATGGTCCTAATATATCATTTCATAATTCACAAATAATACCAGTTTCTAATTTACTCATTATTCTTATCAAATTATGTGACTATTGTCGTGTAGTTTGTTTTTGAGATTCATCATTTTTTATATATTCCAGAGCTGTATAAATATCTTTGTAACCTATTGACAAAGCATTAATGAATTCTGCATTTGCACTCCATCTAGTTTTGGCTATTGACTTAGGAACTGGGAATTTACTATCTAATGATTTTTTTAAAATTGACCATCTACTTGTCGATGCGGACAAAAAAAAATTATTAAGTTCCTGAACAAACCCGAAAAAACAAACAGTTTTTACGCAACAATCTAGTGTCGACTGACCAACAAGGTTCAGTGGATGCGCTTTACATGGTATAGTCTGCAAATGGATTTTTAGCTTTTATAATGGCTTGCATTCCTGAACAAGGTCTGCTCATATTACTTGTATTATCATAACTTTTACCACGACATAAATTGATATCAATTTCAATGTCAACCATAAATTCAAGTAAAATCGATGCTAAATATTCACCTGTATGATTTTCAATATTAATAAAAGTTAAAAAACGCTCAACTGGTCCATTACATGTAACATATCGTATAATAATTGTTAATTGATCTATGTGCGAAATGTCCGGAGTGGAATCAACACTAATTGAATAATAACCAACTTTTTTAATTTCGTTAACAATCACTAAACGTGTTTTCTTAGCAATAAGTGGATTAAATTAATTTCTAATAATTTTAAACAAATTTGAATGGTGACCTTTACCTTTATTTGCATATAAGTTAATATGCTGTGATAAAAAAAGGATCGAATTTTGATAATTACTCAAGTATTCCTAAATAATTTCCATTATTTTTTGATCCAATTTTATCGTCTGAACCCCATAACGGTAAACCACGTTCGGACAAAAAAATAATTGTTTCTATTAATTGTTTGAGTACATTTTTCCAATAGTCACGCGTTTCAATTATTTGTTTTCCAGTTCAATATTAATTTTATTAGTATTACGAGTCCTTTTAATATATGTAATAATCGCCAAAATATGTTCATTTTTCTTTACATGGATATCTATAATTTTATTAATATTTTTTCAATCATATCCGTCACACATAACATCGGATATTGAAAACAAAAGACAGTAAAAACAGTATACCATTTTTTTTTAATGGCGAATAGAGTAGCAATTCTCTATTACATTTTCCCCCGTTTGGTTTCATATAATAAAAATTTGATTTTTTTAAGTATCTATTTGTTTTTTCTTTTTCATAATGCTTTGCTGATAAAGAAAAATCTGCATTTAAATTTTGATATTCAAATGGGCCTTTTTCTATAAAGTATGATACGAATTCTTTTGAATTAACATCTCAAGTACCAGGATCATTCGAAAAAATCACTATATCATTATTTGCACAATTTTCAATTTTTTCAAAAATATTAATTGTTTCACCATCATCAATACTAGAAGTAGAAGCAGTAGTATTTAAATTATCCGATTCTAAAGTAATTTGAGGTTTGAAATATGAAGTAAGAGGAATAACTTTTTTTAAAACTTCCGTTTCTTTTTTCTTTTTTATTTGAGCATCTTTTAATTTCTCCCATCCTCCTTTAGATTTCGACATTATATTTTCTATATAAAAAAAACTATACAATAGTATTGCATTCTAATATGATAAATTTATAATATGATACCTATATAATATACAATTTTCTCCTTCTAATATTGTCTATAATTTAAGTAATTAATATTAAATGTATTAAATTAAGCATACCTGTGTCTGTGTAAGTGTAAATGTAATAAATTTGTGGAGTATTTGTATTCTGTTTATGGAAATTAGAAATACGCTTACACTTTGACGCGGCACACAGGTGACGGTGTGTATGCACGATCGCGGTGCGGTGAGCAAAAGTTGAATATAACAAAAAAACAACTTCGGATTTGTGGTAACACTATATATATATATATATTTGTACACAAAATTAAGAAAAAAAAAGGAAATAATAATAATAATGACAATAACGTACACGATCAGCGACTGCCGTTTCGGTAACGGCTGCCGCACGGGTCCGCGTCAACTTTACAAATATTAACGAATGTAGTAATTTACGAGTATAAAACTATCTAAGTTGTTCTTGTGAGTGTGGCGTGTCACTTCACTGTGATCTTTACCTAAATGGTTATTAGTTATACGATTATAATAATAATGATCTGTAGGCTCGTATTTGCCGTATCAAAATATTTGATAGAAATTTTAGGAAAACCCCAAGTCGCGATAGTATTAAACTAATAAACTTCTGAGTACTATTCACATCATAAAGGTAAATTAATATGATGAACATTAGTAGGAATAACGAAATAATTGATACAAATCACAGTTACAAGTTTATAACAAATTTGATAACCATAATATTTAATTATTTATGATATAAAATCATAAATTCGTAACTACTCATGAGAAAAAAAATTTTTAAATTTTATCTTTAATATATATAAATTTGATTTCAAAAATTATGGGCGGAATTTTTTTTAGGCCGTAAGCGATTTCTTATTTTGCCTAATTTTGCCTACCCTTTAATCTGGCCCTGATTCACATCCCGTTGTCCCGACAAACTTCGAATAAGATGCTTTAAATCTCGTTATTTCCATATTAGACAGGTGATGGTGTAAAATTTTCATAATTCTCGTAAAAAAAAAATGTAAGAGTACTCCTAATTCTACCATACGTATATAATATGATTTTTATACTGTTATGAACCTCCGTCTGCATTAGTTGGTAAGTAAGCATTTTGTTAATGTGAACGGGCAGGGACACACGGTCACACGGTCTAAAAGAATTCGCTAAGTGGACAGTTTTGAGCCTGCCTCTACCGTGTCTTGCTGTCTGTATAAGAATCAGTGTGTTTTTGTCATGTGTGAGCATCGGGAAGAGCCTCTGTTACTTAAATCCGTCTAATTCTGTTAAACATAAGTTTATATTGATTTAATTATTTTAATAAAGTATAGGGATAATTTAAAACAACGCATTAATTATAACACGTACAAAACAGTTGTGGAGACGTCAATAACAATACATTGTTTATGCGAAATAATAGCAATTTAGGAAAATAAAATGAAATCAATGATTTCATTCAATGATCTTAATAGAATTTTAACGTCAATAATAATCAATTTTCAACTATTTATTTATACTTTATTTTTTTTCAAGATTATACCTTTTCTACTACAATTTGAACCACTAAAATATCATTATTACTGAATATGTTATATATCCCATCACAAAAGATAAGTGTTTAATACTTAATTTCCAGGTCTGTTCGCTCCAATATGCGCGATATTATTATTATTCTAATTAGCTCGGTGGCGACTCATTCTCCTTATCTGTTTCCCTCTTCCGGCTCCCCAACTGTATATGTTAATTTTAATTACCGGTTTATATTCTTATTATTATTATTATTCGTATGTTAGTTTGAAAATTGTAATCTGTCTTTTTCCTATTTATTTTTGTACAGCGGCCAACGCCCTTTTTTGCTCTCTTCTTTGTCTTTGTCGTTGTTCGTTCGTCGGTCGCGATTGTTGCACCACGGTCTAACATTATTATTATTTTGTCGTCGTCGTCCGTTTTTTTTTGTTGGTTGTTGCTATTGAAACACAATTTGAACATTTTGTTCTTTAAATTATTATTATTATATTATTATTATTGTCGCCGATGTGGCGTAAAGTATATCTCTAATTGTGAATAATAATAATAAATTGTTTTTCACCAATACAAAACATCAATAAAAAAAAGATCTCATTTTCATCTTCGTCGTTATGAATTATTATTGTCTGCGTGTCCACCCTCTACAGATTGTCGTGAGTTCTATTCAATAAATTTTAGTGTAACTGCTGTGCCACTGATCACTAGACGTTTGGGTCACCATATCGTCCACCGTCAAAACGTAAGACCGCCAACGTCCGGTGTGGCGTGTGAGAGGCCGTCCAGGTCGTCCAGTTACCAATTACTATAATTGTATTTTCCATCTTTATCATCGTCGACCATATATTTACATTGTGAATTGAGTGTGACGCGGACCCGTGCGGCAGCCGTTACCGAAATGGCAGTCGCCGACCGTGTCCTTATCTCTCTCATCAACCACCACTCCGCGGCACTTAACGTAGCAACGACACTCCGTCCTCCCATCAATCACCGGACAGGAGACGCGAGCGGTCGCTACGACGTCCGACAGGTACCACCACGTAGCCAGGCTGTTTTTCCGAGATCGTGTACCGAGACACAACTCACACGTCCTCGACTCACATAATTACTTTCTTTTATTGTGACATTTTTTACGGTGTACCTTATTGTGATTATTATTATTATTATTATTATTTTCTTCTCTTCAACTTAAACTGTGTGTCTACATAAATATACATTTTGTGTCACCACAAGCCGAAGTTGTTTTTTTTTTTTTTTTAAATTGACGCGGCCTGGAGTCGGTATGGATTTTCTTCCCTCGGTGAGGTGGCCGATCAAGTTTGAGTGGTGGTGTTGTGGTGAGCTTAGAAATAAAATCGAATGAACACAATCTGATGAACAATGTGATATATATATTGTGTAACGAAAGAACAACCACAAAACAAATTAAAAGTCTATATAAAATAGGTGGCTTGGCGACGGTGCTAACAAAGCGCAAGAAAACGTACAAGGACTTGGTGGTAGGTGGGTAATATCGGAAACGGTGTTGTCGTTGCCCGGGTTGAGGCTGGGTAGAAAGCGGACGCGGCTCCGCGATAGTGGTGTACCTGTTGTATCTGCACCACAGCGGGACCGCGTCAAAATATTCAACTTTTGCCCACCGCACCGCGACCGTTCACACACACACACCATCACCTGTGTGCCGCGTCAAGTGTTTAGGTTTAAGGTATTTGTCCGATTTATGTGAACTCTACTGGTCATTGCACCAAATCGAATCGACCAGTAGAGGATACCCCCCTTATAACTGGCGTCTTATTCCTATTTCCCTTGTCTAGACTAAGGACGTATTCCATTTCTTCGACGTCGTTGCCACCGTCGCTATAGCAACACAGCCGCCCACCATAACCTCGGAGTCAATTAGGCTGTACATTAGGTTGCCTACACACGACGCCACAAAATAATCAATAGATTAATTTCTTGATTAATATTTTTAATTTATACACTTACGTAACAAGGTTTTTGATCTATCTTCATCTTATGTGCACTAACAATTCTGTAAGAGTCTTGTTTGTCATCGTCACTGATCTCAAATAATCACGATCCTGTACTTGTTCCTCCTAATATGTTACTTCTAACCTCCCTAATTCATGTTGCACCTAATCCATCAATCGTTTCTTGGGTTTGCCCCAGGGCCTTTTGCCTATTGGCTTGTATTCAACAGCTGCTCAAATTTCATTCGTTTCCTCTCCTCCCATTGTGTGCCCAAACCATTGCATTCTTCGTCATTTTATGGTAACTTGTTATGGGAGTCAATTTGGACATCTCCTTTATTTCTTTATTTCTTTTGATCTATAACAGATATTAACGTTCTTATTATTAACTATGAGATAGTTTTGAATTATCTGTTTATTACGATTAAAATATTTTATCTCTGTTAAAAAAATATTATTTCAAGAACATTACAAATAAAAATGTACAAAATATAATTGTAGGTGTTATTAGATCACATTTTATTTTCGGAAGTTCAAATATTACACTACTATACACGTTTAAAATGAAAAATCTCACTCGTGTTATATCTATGATTGTGGAAATAAACATTTTTATAATAGAAGAAAACTACACGTCGGCTGATTTATGGGACGATGATGTTAGTAAGATATGTGTAATTGATATTGGACAATGATTGATATTGGATAGAAATTATGATTTCAAAAACCAGTGTTCCTATATCTATTTTTCAGTGGTTGCCAATAGTTTATAATAATAATTTTAGAGAAACGTGTCACGAAATTAAACTATTCGCTAATACTAAAAAATAAATATAGAAAACATTATTTCTAACACTTCTAAAACTGAATTAATGTAAATGGTATAAAGGAATTCAATAATTTTAAGTCTGTATTATATTACACTATATTATACATTTTTTATGTTGCAAATATAATTATACTCCAGGCTAAGTTCTTATTTATTTATTTACTTATGTTTTTATTTCTAAATATATATTTATATTGTTTGTTTATTTACGTTCATATTAAATAGCAAATTGTTGTTCTATCAAATTTGTTTATGTAATGGCTTTGCTTAGAACAGCTGTAATTTTAAAGATGTATAAAACATGTATCATGATCTAATGGATATGGGTAACATTTCAGTACATAAAACAGCAATTTTTTTTACAAATATTATTAAATTACAACTCAATTATAAATGTTTCTTTTTTCAGGTTATAATCTCACATATCTAAATAATCATGTTGACTTCTACTTACTTAAAGATACGGCACCTCATGATTGTATATACAAGGACCATCAAAAAGATATGAACATTGTGTGGCTGCCAAATGATATAGTAGGGAAATACAAAATTAAATAACGAATTATATTGGTCCCATGTTCTTAAGGGGCGGAAAATTAATTCAAATATTACCATAAATGGGTATTACACATCAATAAAAGTGATAAACTCATATTATAAATGAAAATTTATCACTGATTTAAAAACTGACAAGGAATTACGTGAACATATTTTACATTCTGCTTTTTCTCCTTCGTCTTTATCTCAATTATTTGAGGCTGAACACCAATGTTCTAAACCCTCACACGTCATAATTTTCTACACCAACTAAGCATAGACCAACAACACTCAAATCAATCTCAATCGTATCCAACCATCTCTTTTATGGTCTTCATTGTCATTACAACTCTTGCTGCTTTTATTTCCACTTATCTCATCACATGTTTAAATCATCCTTACTATTTTATGTATCTTTAATTATCTTTATATCTGGTTGAATAAACACCTTAATTAATTAAAATGTTATTCTGAAATTATACTCAAAACACTTTTAGTTTAAAAGTTGTTTGGTAATTTTTGATTACATTGCAATTTTTTTAAAAAAAAAAAAATGTACAAATAATTTTATTGATTATTGCTAATCAGCATATTTTTCTTATGCGTTTTAGGTAATAGAAATCGAGGACTTAAAAGAAGGAGGATTGGAAACAAGTAAATTAATATATGAAATACGTCTTAAAGTACTCAGTATTCTAGATACTTTTTATGGACTTCGCCCTGCTGATTTCGGTTATTCCCGTGTGAGTATTTAATTTACAAATATATATTCTAAGTAAATTCAGTGATAGATTATAAACATTTTTAATATAGAATCTAAATAAAATGATTAAATTAGAAGGTCAAATGCTATATAGTTCTTATAATCATAATAAAGGGTTATGAATTTTAAAATTATCGCCTAATAATTACATAAATCATGAATTATTTCAATAATTTAAATTTATTTTTATAAATAAATATTAAAACAATCAATTAAAATTGTTAAAAACAAAATTCTGTAGAATATTTTATTAATTAAGAAAATAACAAAATTAAAATGTAGAGGCTCATAGGTTGGACGAAGAAAAAATAAAAGGAAATACGGGTGAATGCTATAATGTTTTCAACTAGAAACTATTACACCATTTCTCTCGAAAATACATTTCTGAGAGTATGAACTCAGATTGACAGTTTATATTACTAATTATGTAATATTGGTATAGTAGAAGAACCACATATCACTTTAAGGTAGATTGGAATTTTAATTCCCTTAATTTCGCAAATAAATCAATGGCATCTAAGAATTAACAAGAACGGAAATTCCATCTTCTTGTAAACAATGCCAAATACATTAAAATATTCTGAAACTGCGAAATGTTTATGACTAATTAGCTTAAATGTTTTTATTAATTGAAATATCCAAATCCATCAACATTTAAAGCCTATAAATAGTTTTTTAACCATCCAGTTATTCATTTTTTTTTTTTTTTTTTTAAATTTCGTGGAAAGCAAAACCAATACATTTATTATTACAATCAGAATCTAAAATTAAAATGTTTCTGGATTCAATGAAATAATAAAATCTTTTATATTTCATTAGATTTTTTTACTTACAGCTATGTTCTGTTCATTTGGATAAAGATCGGAGATATTGTATTGAAACAATAAAGAACATGTTTGAGAAAGTAAGTTTATATATTTAATAAACCATTTGTTATTTGTTGTTTATTAAATGCTAATTAGTAGGGCAAGGAAAATGAAGTACTAAAAACCTACAATAAAGGAATTAAAAAATGCCAATAATGTTACAAAAAAAAAGCATTTGACCAGAAAAATGCAACTAAAAAAGATTTAAACATTTTTAAGTTTATCTGAAAAATATTTTTAATATCAAAAAATAATTAATTAAACACATTTTTATATGTTCACAACAATTAATTCTTAGAACAATTAAGTAAAATTTATTAATATTGAAAAAATAAATTAAAAACTGTTTTATTATATTTTAGGTACCTGTTAATTATATAAATATTAAAAAAACTATAAGATATTTTAAATTTCTTTGATATTTAGTAATATTTTGAAAACAATTCAACACCTTCATTCTAAAACAAAAATGAATTAAAAAATTATTATAAAAAACTTCAAATTTTAAATATTATTTAATGTTAATAGATACATACTATTCAATTACATTTCTATTGTTGAATTGTACTATTAGGGACTCTTTCAAATTTTCAAATATAAAAGATCTGCGATAATCAGTGAGCAAAGTTTTGTATGAAGAAAATGATCTCTCCACGTCCACGGATGTTATCGGAGCAAATCTCAAATATGTCATATCATCGAGATTTAAATCTTCTGGCAGTTCCAATTTTGACATTTCTTCGCCTTTCAAAATTTTTGAGACTGTACATATGGACTTAAATCCAGTATTTTTTTCCTAAAACTGTCTTCAACTTTAACTGTACAGCCTTATCAATTTTGTTTTGTGCTTTATCAGTTGTATTTTGGACATCCAATAAAATTTTAATTGACTCGGATAGAGGACAACTGGTTTTTTCAAGACGCAAAATAGCACTTGTTGATGCACTAAAATTTGATTTTATGTATGTCAAATTACATTCCAGATTAGGTTCTTTTATCAAATCATAAACATTTTTTATTGAAATAGCATCATCTTCGTCCAATTCAATAATGACACGTTTAAATTAAAGAAAAATGTTCACAATAATAAATCGCAGCATTGATCCACGTTCCCCACCTTGTGAGTATGGACTCTGGAGGTAAAGGAATATTTGGTGCAATACTTCGAAAAATTTGTACTCGAGAAGGAGCTTTTAAAAATTTTTTTTTCATATTTGAAATCAGCTTGTCAACTTTTGGAAACTGTAATCTAATTTCCTCGCATACTCGATGCAATGCATGAGCTACACAAGTAATGTGTTCCATTTTAGGATTAAATTATTTAATAGTTTTACCAGCCTTTACCATATATGGTGCGGCATCCGATAAAAATAACAAAATATTCTCATGCCTAATCCTTTCAGGCCATAAAATTAAAAGCGACTTACCAAATAATCGACTTATCGTCGCGTTGTTAGCTTTATCTAACACTTCCGAATTCAAAAGAAATATTTAACATGGGCTATTTATTTCTTAGGTGCCTATTATTACGTTTGCTACATAACGACCAGCTACATCTGTCGTCTCGTCGATCGATACCCATATTTTCTTTTCAGATGCATATGCTCTTATATTATTCATTGTTTCTGTGTAGCATTCTGTAACATACTTCTTACGCAATGTTGATTGATCTGGTATGACTTGGTTTGTATATTTCTCAAGAAATTTTCGAAATGACGGTTGAGATAGTTTTTAAAGTGGTATATTTGAACATAATATGGCCTTGCATAGATCGTAGTTAAATGTTTATGCTGTCGATGGGCCGTTCAATAAAGTCTGAGTAGTAGATATTTTTTGTTGAGTTCTTTTTTCTATACCCATCATATGTTTATCACGTGTAACATGTTGAGAAACATTAAATATTTTTTCACCTGACACTTTTATGTCACAGATTTTTCAGTAAAGTATTGTCCCATCAGTGGTAAAAATATTGTCACCGAATTCGCGCACATATGCACGTAAACGACAAGCCAACAATTGTGTAGGTTTAGGCATTTTAAGTTTTAAATCAATTCGAACACAAAAAAGGTAGGTATAACACTATAACACCATCCGCGATTACAGGAAAAAACGATTAACGACTTGTCGGCATAACGTATTTTCGATTACTGATATCGTGGTTCCGTGAGTCGCGACAATACTCCGTACGCTAGCACTCGAATATAAACCCCCATAGAAATTCCTATAATTAAGAAATGCTAAATAATATTATTTTAAATTTAGACATAGTAAACAAGTCAATAAATATCGTTCTCATTGCGTCTGAAGTCCAGACATAATATTACGACGATATTACAGACGTTTTATTACGTAACCACTACTCCCCACTCGATAATCAGTAATCACAAAATCTAAGAATCGATTTTCAGAAATATTTTCCAATAAGGCGATAATATTTCACTATAAATTCACAAAATATAAATGATTATACAATTAAAATAAATGAAAAAATAATAAATTAGATAAATATGTACGTAAATATTAAATATGAGTACAATTAACAAAAACCAATTAAAAAGCTAATAAACTGACAAAAAAGTACCAATAAAGCATTTATTTACGAATGTCACAAGAAAAAGCAAAAAAAGCAAAAACAATATTGCATATTTGAACTCTGTGATGAATGAATCGAATTTTGTTTTTGATTAGCTATGTCCTGGAGTACTATGAAAGAAAATGTAAATGCTACAAAATCCTAGCCCCACTAATTAGAGATGGGAAATATAAATCAGTTGAGTGAATTGATTTTCTTGATTCAATTAAATAAAGTGAATCAATTCAGTGATTCATCTCGATTCAGTGAACTACAAGTATTCAGAAAAACCTTAACTATGACATCAATGATTTTTTCATCTGAATCTTCTGGTTTTTTTTATGTTCATTTAAATAACATAAAGATTATAATATTTTAAATTATATTTTTTACATAGCACTTATTTATATTATTGTAGAAAATATCAAACATTATTATTCTTAGAACTGGTTGATTACATCAAGTGTTTTGACATTTTTGTTAACAGGCCAGAATACGAATTAATATGAATTTGCTTGGAGTATTGGTTTTAGACCTTGAAGATGATGACTATGAGGGAAAATGTGATTGTACTGTGGGGGCTGCTACTTCACCAAATTTTCCACTGTTAAATATTGTAGCGGAAGCTAGTCAAGAAAATACGACGAATGTAGATCATTACAATTGTAAAAATGGAAATTTCCCGAAAATTCATAAATAATGATAGTTATTGATGGATAAATTTATGATTCTTAAGTAAAATATTATACACTATCCGTTATAATACTTCTGAAAATGTATAATGATACGATACAGTTTTAAAAACACCAATACTTTCATGTATTATAATATAAATAAATAATAAATCTAGTATAATCTCATGAACTTGTAATTCCTTCCTTCATCCATTCTTTTATTTTCGCCGTCAGCTTCTAATTAACCTTAATAATATGCGACGTGGAATGTCAGATCATTAGGTGTATGTGGTAAACTAGAAAACTTGAAGTTAGAAATGGAACGTTATAAAATTGATATTCTAGGTATTAGCGAAGTTAAATGGACAGGTCTATGGGTTGTTTGGTCTGGAGACTGTAGAGTAATATTTATTGGCGACGAGGACAAAATTACAGGATTGGGGATAGTAGTAAATAAAGACCCTGGTCACAAGATCAAGAGTATTATACACTTTAACCAAAGAATAATAGGTATTAAAATAGAAATTAAACAAACGGAAACATTTATAATACAGATTTACATGCCAACATCTAGTAACAAACACGAAGAAATCGAGGAATTGTACGAGCCAATATCAGATGTAATAGAAATGGTAAAAGAAAAAGACAATTTAATCATTATTGAGGATTGGAATGCCGTTGTGGGCGAGAGATCAGTACAAGAAGTAACAGGAAATTTTGGACTTGGAACAAGAAATCAAAGGGGTGATAGAATTATAAAATT